TATATATATATACACATATCAAATAAAATGTCAAAGCTCTTCTGTGGATGGACTTACGCTTTAGCAGTGCCAAGGACAACTTTTATGCGAGCCTCCCAAGTAATATATATATATACACATATCAAATAAAATGTCAAAGCTCTTCTGTGGATGGACTTACGCTTTAGCAGTGCCAAGGACAACTTTTATGCGAGCCTCCCAAGTAAGAGAACCTTGTATATATATATACACATATCAAATAAAATGTCAAAGCTCTTCTGTGGATGGACTTACGCTTTAGCAGTGCCAAGGACAACTTTTATGCGAGCCTCCCAAGTAAGAGAACCTTGTATATATATATACACATATCAAATAAAATGTCAAAGCTCTTCTGTGGATGGACTTACGCTTTAGCAGTGCCAAGGACAACTTTTATGCGAGCCTCCCAAGTAAGAGAACCTTGCTGGCGCATAGCTCCATGAAGCCATAGTTCTAGGTTTCCATTGTTGACATATTCATACACTAGCATCCTGAATATTTAGACAGATAATTAAGTAAGATGCAATCAGTTCTATCAATAAAAAAAAAGGTAAGATGCAATCAAACTATTACTGCTTGCAAGAATATAAAATTGAGACTAATTTCCAGATTACATAACTTCAATAAAGATGTTTCATCACAAATAGTAAGGGAGACCATAATACTTGGTACACGTTAGTGATATGCCAAAAGAAGAGCTCACCTTTGAGTACCCTCAACACAGTATCCTAGAAGCCGAGCAAGGCGTTTGATTGCATAAATGTAATCTTAAGCGAGCAAGGCGTTCTCAACTGCACGCAGGGTGCATGAAAGGTCAACATTGCCCCTATCTAGTCATTGTGCAATGAAATAGGCGCCACTTGCATGCATGACTTCCTGAGAGGATGCAGAGTCAGAGAAATGAGACAAGATGTTAATGGTAATAAAATCAAAGTAATTCAATTAATTACCATATTAATTAGGAAGGACACAAATCCTATTAGGAGACATGTACAACAAAGTTTGATTTGGATTGGGATAGTTTGATTAGGAAGGTGTCATCATTAACTTTCAAACTTCACCATCAAAAGAAGTTACTTCGATAACTAAGAGTACATATATACCTAGTAAATAATGTGGAGACTTAATACTTTCATGTAATTAAAATCACGAGAAAATTATTTTATATATCAAAATATCACGAGTACGAATATGCGACCAAGAGGACATGTGTCGCTTACTCCTTATTATATCCTAAATCGCAGGTCAATAATTAACAGAACGACTACTTTACTTTCCTCATAATTTGCCCATGAAAAACTTGTAAAAAATAATTAATCTCTCTCCGCGGAGGGTAAAATATTGTTTCCTATCAAGTTGCAAGTTGAATTTTTTAGCGTGATGTTGGGGCCCGTTTGGATTGTTTTTTTTTTTACCCTGAAAAGGGAGGACATGTGTCGCTTTCTTCTTCTTTCCCTCTCAAAAAATACAATCCAAAGGGGCCCTTAGTGGTTTTAATACGAGGAAATTCACTGCCTCAAATAAGCTGTTTACGGCCTCTCACAATTGACAAGCAAGGAAATCCACTGTTTACGTAAATATGTTAGCGGTCTTAGTGTGAGAGAGTAATTAATAATTTACCCCATTACGTAGGAAAAAGTAACTGAATTTGAGATCATAGTTTCTATTAAAATTTACATATCATTGACTCCCTAAAGTGGATCTCACACTTAACAATAGGAAAAAGTCTATACACATCATAGATTTATTATGGAAGTACAAATGACGTTAGTCCAAATAACACATGAAGTGCTGCCCTTTACTGTTGCATGTGATTTTGTTTACTCTTTTATAACCAAAGGGTGCGCTTCTAATGATGATGATACACGCCACATATGATGATTGTTGGCTATATGTTGATGAAAAGGCTGCCTTTGTGAATAATCTCACATTGGAAAATGAGATGAATAGTAAGTGATTTGTAATGCTTCATCTCATATTGGGCTTTGTATTGCTTGAGCTTTGCATAACACACATTTTTTTTGGATCCCAAATATTTAATTTTACCATTTTCCTTTCGACTCATTCGTAACGGATGCGAATATGACGCGGGAAGTTACGCGGATCGTGAGTAACATGTGTGTATTTAGAGCAAATTTTACCATTTTCCTTTTGACTCGTTCGTAACGGATGCGGAGATAACACGGGGAGTTACGCGGATCGTGAGTAACATGTGTGGATTTAGAGCAACGTCTCTTTGGCCTCCAGCTCCTATAAATACAGCCCTTCTCCTCCTCGGAAATACACACAGAAAACAAGCTTACCTCTCTTCTGTAAGCGAGGTCTTCTCCCTTCATTTTCTCTCAAAGATTTCGGTTATTGTTTTCATTACATTTATGGGTAATCATTTTCATCTGCGCAGAAGCTCTGCTATTCTCGCCCGAGTACAAAGGCCGATTGTTTCCGAGAGCTTTTACCGCTAGGAGGGAGATGATCAACTGCGCCAGGGTGATAGGTTGGTCCTCAATTTTCTAGGACAGTGAAATCACGACTGCTACCCGTATCAGACCAAAATATCTAATTTCCTTTATTTCGGATTTTGCATTACTAATATTTTTGAGTTTTTCTAACGATGATAACCAACTCACCCATCTGGCCATCTCCAAAAATCCCGTTTCTTCATTTGATGGGACACTAGCCTTTCCGCATCGGCTCTGGAATTGCACAGAAACGGTAAAGAGCGGTAAGCTCACTGCCCCAACCCCTCCTTCCATCTTCCTGTTCGCAGTTTTCTTGTCCTCCAAGCTCAGAACGAGGGTACGATCGTACTTACGAGGAAAAGTCGAGGGCATTGTTGTCATTCTTTTTCACGCGCCTAATTTCCCGCCCAGTGCACGAAGAAGAGTGGGGGTCGTCGCGGGACTCGCTCACCTTAGCGAGTGGGACCCGAGTGCGGATCTCTCATGTCTGACGGTAGGGCCCGGGTCAAGTTCTCGGTCAAAACAGTGTTGGTGTCCGTGGCCGCTCCGTCTCCTGGTCGTCCTGTATTTAAACTGCCACTGCCTTCTAGCTGCTCCCCCATTCTCTTTTTGTAAAAAAGAAAAGGGGAGGAAAAAAATCCCTTCTCTCTCTTCTCTCCATTCTAAGCTCACAAAAAAAAATTTGAAACTCTAATGGCCTTCCCGAGGAGGAGGCGAGATGGAAGGCCGCCGCGGACGAGGAGGAGGTGGCCGGCCGTGAGGCGTGACTTCAGCCGCGGCGGCCCGCGGCGCGAGGTCGGAGCGGCGGACGACGCGAGGCCGTGGAGAGGTGCCAGAGCGAGCGCTGTGCGTCCGCCTCCAGCTTTCGGATCTCTAAACGCGCCTCAGATCGCACTGTCGCGGGCTCTTCGACGTCTGCGGGATGGATCCTTCACCTGCGACTCTCACAAGACGAGTGCGAGGCGATTGGGGATCCGGGGATCAGGCCGCCAGGCCTCGAACAGAGTGTTGGCCCTGCGGAGACTGCCGGCTTCCGGTGGCGCTGCGCTGGCCGCCGTCGTCATCAGAGGCGAGGCGGCCCCTGCAGCGTCCTGGGTTTGGGATGGAGGGGATGAGGTGCATCGTACGAGCAAATCACTTTCTCGTCGAGGTCGCGAGCCGCAATCTTCATCGCTATGATGTGAGCTTTTCTTCTAACCCTTAACTTTCGTCTTCTTCAAGTTGATAGCACAGAGCATCACTTTTCGCTCTGTTTTTTCTGATTTTTGGGTGCTAGGTTGTACATCCATTTTTGGATGGCTATTTTTTGTTCAGTTCTCGTGTAGATCTTGTAGGGCCTTCTGGGTTTTGTTCTGGATCTGATTTAATGCGTGTTGGTGTCCTTAGTCTCATCGTTTTTATTTTCTTTTAACCGCTGGTTCATTTGTGCAGATTTTATTGGGTTTTGTGGTTAAGTTGTAATTCTGGGTTTAAGTTCTAGATCTAGTTTAATCCAGTGCTCCTGTTGTTAATCTTTATCTTTTTTATTCTTATTAGTGTTAAGTCGTTGTGGGTTATGCGGTATTTTGTTTTGACATCTCCCACTAATTGATGCACGTATCTTACTTAGGTTTGTTCAAAGATAAATGAACCTTACAGTAGATTCTGTCTGTAGGATTTGTTCTATTTTTATGTAGATTACTTTTGGGTTCTTAGTTTAATATACTTAATGTTGTTAACCTTATCTTCTTTATTCTTCTAAGCGTTGCAAATTTGCTGCGGATTGTTTGATATTTTCTTGTGAAATCTCATAGTTACGTTATTTGCTTAGATTTTTTCTTTACTGTGTTAAAATTAGGGATTCTTTTTGGTGAAGTTGTAGATCCAGCTATCATGCACCTACTATTTGGTATTTTCCTAGCAATGTCTTTTATTCATATATATCTTGAAACTTTATGCCTTGTCATTGAATTCATTCAATTTGTATATCTTGAAACTTCATGCCTTGTCATTGAACTCATTCAATTTGTATCTTGTTGAAAATATGATTTCTACTTTTAAAGGGACGATGATTGGATTTTAAACCAGTATAACATGAAAAGCCTATAAGTGGAATTAATGTTTATTAAAGTTATTATCAAATGTTTCAATTCAGCAGTATGTGATACATGTTATCATTCTGTGCCAACTGTATATAGTTATGATTTATGGGACTCGAACCATTTTGGAGTCTAGTTAGTTCTGCAAGCTTAAGTTGTGTTAGAGGACGTGTAAGTAAGGTAGAAAGTCCAAAGAAGATATCGAGTTTTCTAAGATTGCTCTAGGAACTTGAAGTTTATTGTGCTTCTTAACACATTTTCCCCTTCCTCCCTTTGCACCTTTAAAAGAAACCAGTTTCTTTACAGATTTAAATGTTTATAACAAGTTTATTTTGATTACTGTGATGGTACAGATGAAAAAATTGACCTAAAATCTTTCTATTGTTAGTAAATAGTTTCAGAATTTTGGAGATGCTGGTGTTGTTTATGAGAGCATGCACAACCTTTTCTAAGCTTCATCCACATGGTTAAAAAGAAATAAAAAAGTTGGTCTCTCCTGAGTCCAGCTTAAATGGTTCGCCAATTTATTTTCATAATTGTGATAGTTCTTATGACAGAATGGAGCTATAATATATCTTGTTTTGCTAATTAGTTTCAGAATATTTTATGTGTTAAAGGTGTTTGAAAGAAGAGAGTATAGTATGTATTCCATTTTTAAACTTTAGTCACGTATTTGTTTCTCAGTGTCATTTGCAGTCCTGTGCTCTCGGTTCTTTTGTTAGGACACTGCATTATAAACTGCAGTTAATGTGTATTTAATTAGCTCATTTTATTGCTATTTATCTTATTTCTTTGGCTGGAGCAGGTTGCCATAACACCAAAAGTGACTTCAAAGGCTGTTTGTAGGAAGATTATTAGTGAGCTTGTAAAAATTTACAAGGACTCCCATCTAGAACGCAGAACACCAGCCTATGATGGCATGAAATCTCTTTACACTGCTGGAGCTTTGCCCTTTACATCTCAGCAGTTTAAGATTAAATTAGCTGAAAAGGACCGGTGAGCGAACACCTATGTCTTGTTGCTTAGTGCTGTTAGCACTGCAGTTTTTCTTGTTATGCTTATGCTTGCCATTTGATGCTCAGTGGCGACAAGGAATTTGATGTTACCATCAAGTGTGCCGGACATGCTGATCTCCATCATCTGGATCAGTTACTTCATGGGAGGCAGTTTGATGCTCTGGACATTGTTCTTAGGGAGTCACCCTCACAAAAGTAATGATGTTGTGACCATAAATCATAGCTCTGGTTGATAGTTTGCTATGCTTATGTTTAACCACCGTTTATCTTGTTCTTTTCCTCAGGTATGTCACAATAGCGAGATCTTTTTTCTCAAAGGATTTAGGGGCAACAGAAGATATTGGTGGTGGATTGGAATGTTGGAGAGGATACTATCAGAAGCTTCGTCCGACGCAGATGGGGCTCTCCTTAAACATAGGTAACATGTGGGAACTTATCTCAAATTGGTCCTACTTCCCTCCTTTTCTAATTGCAATTAATGTAGTTTGTGACATGTTTTAATCTGCAGGTACCGCTGCCACTCCTTTTTACCACTCTATTCCAGTTATAGACTTTGCTAAGGAGTACCTAAACATCGGAGATGCACAGCGTACCTTGACAGAGAAACAGCGTATTGCTGTATGTTTTGTATCTGCTACTCACCTTGATGATTAATAGCGTACCTTGACAGAGAAACAGCGTATTGCTGTATGTTTTGTATCTGCTACTCACCTTGATGATTAATACCTTTTATTTTCATTGTCATTGGAATTTAATGCTTCTCTCTTAATATCTCTAGGTTAAAACTTGTTTATGTAGGATATATATATTTTTAATTTATATTTTTTATGTCAAATCCACAGTTGACAAAAGCCCTACGAGGGATTCGAGTTGGAGTCACTCATAGGGATACGAGCAGACGCTACAAGATTAATGGTCTATCAAATGAGCCTTTAGCCCAATTGATGTAACACTTCCTGTCTTCTCTAGATATATATTTATCTTAAGTTGTATACTTTCTGTCCTCATGTTTTCTACATAATTTTATGACTTGTCTACTCAAGTTAGTTGCTCGTTTGCTCTTGTATGTTTTTTGATAGTCTGCTCGTCGATATTGTTAGGTTTCCTGTAGATGACAAGGGAAACAAAAAGCTAGTGGTGCAGTATTTTCAGGAGAAGTATAACTGCAAACTTGTCAATCTTACATGGCCTTGCTTACAGTCTGGCAGTGGCAGTAACCCAACACACCTGCCAATGGAGGTTTGCTTTAACTGTTATCTAGCAATACAATGTTATTTACTCTTACTGATGGCTGTCAATGCTATGTTGTGTTGAGTTCTGATTAAACTTTCTGCTTATCTATTTATTGTTCTAGGTCTGTAAAATTGTGGAAGGTCAGAGATTTTTGCAGAAATTGGAGGAGAAGCAGGTTACTGAAATACTGAGAGCAACTTGTCAACGCCCACACGAAAGAGAGGAGAGTATAAGGAAGGTCAGATACTTTGATTGTAGTGGGGTGCTGGGATGTTTTTATTCTTTGTTCTTCATCAAAATATTGAAATTTATCTTATTTATGAATAGTTTAGTCAGTTTTGTACACTTTGATGATTGTGAATGGCCTGATTGCTACTGCAGATAGTCATGGAGAACAACTATGAAGATGATGAATATGCACAGGAGTTTGGCATCAAGGTGGCCAAGCAGCTGACCTCTGTTGAAGCGAGAGTCCTTCTTCCACCAAAGGTAGTTATTTGATCTGCAATTGCTTTGTTGGATAGCAAGGTGAAAATATTAATTGTCAGTTTTTCTTTTTTATTGCATCTTCAGCTCCAGTACCATAATACTGGAGTAGATAAGACATGGAATCCAAAAGGTGGCGCGTGGAGTATGTTCAATAAGGTAAAAGTCTCCTCATTATTAGAACCAGTGATATTTGTTCTTTTGTTTCGGGGATGGTTAATAAATGTAGAAGACTTCTTTGCTTTTTTAAGTACCAGGTGAAAGTCATTTTTCGGTTACTAGATGGTTAATATTGTATATTAAAGTCCATTCTCCTATCATGAAAATATTAATTTCTAGCATTTAAAGTCTTTTGTCATGAAAATATTAATTTCTAGCATTTAAATTCTTTTGTTTTTGTTGTCTTTTCTATGTACAATGCAGTAGTAACTTTATTTCCCCCTGAGCAATATCTTTGTTGAAGAATGACTTTATCATTATTTCTTTTTTCAGAAAATGTATAATGGTGGAACAATTTATAGTTGGGCATGCGTTAATTTTTCCCACGAACTTTATTGTAACAATGCTGCAGTAAGACACTTCTGCGGTAGACTGTTTTCTACCTGTAAAAGACTTGGAATGGTACTGCACGATTCTTTCTTTCTTTATTGACTCGATTACTATTCATGTTTGTGTTTTGCTGTGATCCCCTCAAATCGTGGGGAGAAAACGGTTCTGGAACCGTTCAAATCGTACTTGAACGAGTCAAACACTAAAAACAGCGTTCTGGGCCCGAACTCTGCGTTTTAGACTTGAAACGCAGAGTTGAGCCTGTTTTAGGCTGAAAACGCATAGGTCGCGCTGCGCAGAGATGAACTCTGCGTTTTGGACCTGGGACGTAGAGTTGGGTTCTGCATGAATTATGCGTTTTTAGACCTGGGACGCAGAGTTGGGTTCTGCATGAATTGTGCATTTTTGGACCTGGGACGCAGAGTTGGGCTCCGCATGAACTGTGTGTTTTTGGACCTGGGACGCAGAGTTTTTCTTTATTGACTCGATTACTATTCATGTTTGTGTTTTGCTCATTTTGCTATGTATTTCTAGTCTATTGAACCTGACCCAGTAATCGAAGACCTCCATGAACGTGCTAATAACGTGGAGGCAGCTCTAAGAACTGTGCATGCTCAAGCAACTACTGCTTTGGGAGGAGGAACCACGCAGAGTTGGGCTCCGCATGAACTGTGTGTTTTTGGACCTGGGACGCAGAGTTGGGCTCCGCATGAATTGTGCATTTTTGGACCTGGGACGCAGGTTTTGATTCTGTAATGTAGAGGCAAGCCTTAGGCGGGCTTGGTGAGCTTCAGGCTAAGTCCAATGTTCAAGCGAAGTCCAGTCTTGCAGACGGACTTCAGAACATAACTTTCTGTGAAGAACAGGTCATAACTTTCAAACCGTAAGTCGGAATTGGACGAAGTATATATAAAAATCGGTTATCTCGACGAGACGGAGCCGACCAAACCTACCCCATAGGGTTCGGTTTGCTCCGTCAGTTTTGCCAGGTACAATCAAGCGTGTTTGTGAAACTGAACTCGGGCTCATATCACAATGTTGCTTATCTAAGCATGTTAAGGCTTGCAATCGAAAATATCTGGAAAATGTGGCTTTGAAAATTAATGTGAAGGTCTGTGTTTCTGTGTTCTTAAGCTTCCAGTTTGATCATGGATGGCCTTTTTAATTTGCCTGCATGATTCTTGAACAGGTCGGAGGTCGTAACACTGTTCTGTCAGATGTTCTTAGTAAGAAAATGACTATAGTAACCGATGTACCAACCATCATTTTTGGGGCTGATGTCACACATCCCACGGCAGGAGATGGCGCTTTGAAGAGACCGTCGATTTGTAGTCTCTTTTGCTAGAGCGTTGCAAAGATCGTCATCTTGTAATCTTCATCTTGGCTCCTTGAGAATATGAGAGTCATCAGATTGTAACTCCTGATGTTGATTGTGAAGGCTGTTGATTAGAGCTTTCATCAGTTGGGGCTGATGTCACACATCCCACGGCAGGAGATGGCGCATCTCCATCCATAGCTGCCGTCAGTCTCTTTCTTGTCAATCATGTTATATTATACTTATTCTTTGAATTGTGTTTTTCTAAACATATATGTATTCATATTTTGTGTTATCAAGGTGTTTGCGTTTATCTTTTGCATACATACTCTTGATTTCTCAAATGGAAGGCTGTTGATTAGAGCTTTCATCAGTTGTTGCGAATGTCGTCAGATTGTAACCTTTATCGATCCACATGAAAGTCTTCAAATTATAGTCTTCTGGAAGCCGTTAAATTGTAACTTCCATCATCAGTGTTTGATGGGGATCAGCTATCTGCAGTGATTTTTAGACAGCCTACAAATGGTAAAACTTGTTTTATTTAAATAAGTATACCTTAGCTGTCATGCCTCTATTATCCTAACTAGTTGTTAAGCTTATGAGTTGGTTGTTAACCTTATGCTCTGGTTGTTAATGTTATGAGTGATGTTGTGATTTGGTGAGAGTTAGATCACATATTCACACGTCTGTCCTTTTAACTTGCGCATTTTTTTTCATGATATGTTAGGTTGTTGCATCAATGGATTGGCCTGAAGTGACGAAGTACAAAGCCCTTATTTCATCCCAACCACCTAGGAAGGAGATAATAGAAGATCTTTATACAACCACACAAGGTGGCCACGGTGGCATGATTAGGTAAAATTTTCTTGTTTTCTTTTCTTTTCCTTTTTTTCTTTTTGTTTTTCTTAGGGTACATCATTAGATTGCTTGATATTGGAATGTTGTTGAAAGTGCATGTTTAGATCTTCAAGCTTTACGTTTTCCTTCCTCTGCTTTCCTGCAGAGACCTGCTTCGATCTTTCAATAGTGCTACAGGACATGAACCCCAAAGAATTATATTTTACAGGTTTGATTCATGTCCCAAATGCATTCTTTTAGCTGTCATGTCTACTGCACTGGAACCCCTAAAATTATCCTATTTACATGTGCAGGGACGGCGTCAGTGAAACACAGTTTAGCCAAGTTCTTCTGCATGAAGTGGATGCAATAAAAAAGGTAAGTGTTTTCATTTAGTTTACTGTTTGTGTATATTTGACCTGAAACTAAGATGCATGGTGAACGGCTGACAATTTCCACTAAGTTTTTCCATTAACAGATTATATTTTCTAACAACTAATTCAAGAAGCTTTGTTGCTATTGACGATAATGACGACACGTTTAGGCGTTTGTTCATCATTTATAATGGTTGTATTAAAGGGTTCATTGCTGGATGTAGACCTCCATTATTTTTTGATGGAACATTTCTTAAAGACTGTTACAGAGGTATATTACTTAGTGCCATAGGGTATAACGGCAACCATGTAATATTTCCTTACTTATAGCGTATGTGACCAAGAGAATGAGGAGAATTAGAAATGGTTCTTACAAGGAGTGTGGACGATATATGATAGGGGAAAGCCTTACAATCCTCCGTATCAACTGGTCATGATTTCTGATGCCAACAACTAAATTATGCGGTAAAACTCACTTCTTTTCGGTTGTCTTATGTGTCTCTTCTGTTTCGCTCCTATTTGTTCCTCTCTTTAGATCTAGAAGCGCTATAGAGGCGTCGTCGATGCCGATGTTGCCCTCTACATCTGTGTGCTAGACTGGATTTTTGAGTTGAACTGGACTTGTGGGAGAAGGATGACTAGTTGCGATGTCCTCTAGAACATCAGCAATTGATGTGCCAGCTTCAGTCCACTCTACTGCGCTCGAATGTCTTTTTGCAATGACATACTATGACGCATCGTCATCTTCGTTGAGATTGACAGGGGCGACTGCTTTGGGAGTTGATTTATCAGTCATTTTCAGATCAAGGTGTTTGCTCTGGGGTGGGTTGATTTAGGGCTAGGGTTTTGAAATGGGGATGGTCGGTTTGCTTGGACAGAAGAGAGATGAGCTGACACAATTGACGAGAAGTAGTTTTGAGAAGTGGGAGGAGGTTAAATCAAAGGCCATTTTGAATTTTTTTAACAATGAGTTACGTGGGAACAGGTTTTGGGGGCTAAATGAACATAAGAAATTCTTGTGGGGACTTTGGGATCGTTAAAAAAGTCTTGAGGGGTGGAATACTTGTTAGGGTTTTGGGGGCCAGAAGCAATTTTCCCTTTTTTTGGATGAAAATGCTTATGCCAAATTTTAAATTCAGAAGATAAAAGAAGTATAAAGTACCACATACACAACTGCTTAGTCTAAATGATCTATTTAATTTCAGGGATTACATCATTTAAACATCAATTGAATATAGTGTGGACGTCACCTTTTATAAGAAAGAGCCTTCAACATTCTCTTGTGCCGTTCAGTTTCAATTAAGGAAGATTGATTTAGTATAAGTTTGATGTCGTGTCCATTTGTATAAAACGCTTTACTTCTATATTATTATTTTACTTAAACCCGCGGTTATAATAGTTCTTCATATATTAGTTCCTCGTCTTCAAATAATTAAGAAAAGTCAACTTGTTTTAAGTTCGAGATCAAATAAATCATACTAAAGTAGTACTCTCGGAAAAAGTCCACTCGTCTTCTAATAATTTTGTAGTTGACACATCATCATTTTGGAATAAACGCATTCCTTTCCTCCGCTTAAAATACAATATTTTCATTCTATTACTTATTGCAGTTTGTGTCCTTAATTTAAAAACAATATATGTTTACGTTGGTGATACCACGTTCACCATCTTCTTCATTGACTTTGCTTCTATAAAGCAACTGTTGGTTAAACATTCAAGAAAGAATCATTTGGCTCTTCTCATTCTGAATACGACATTTTTATATGTAGATTGATGATCAGTTATAAATTAGTGTAAAAGGCCTTTCCTTTCTTTTTTTTAACTAGGGAACCTCCCCATGATCCTGTTGGAATATCAAATTAAAATGCTAGAATAAATGAGTTTTAGAAGTGCAATGGTCATAAGTTTAGAAGTAAGTTTTTCCATTAACAGATTATATTTACATCTGTTTGTGCATGTAATAACCAGGCTTGTCAATCTCTACGTGAAGGCTACCGGCCGGGTGTCACCTTTGTGGTTGTGCAGAAGAGGCACCATACCCGCTTGTTCCCTGAGACCCACGGAAGTGAGCAAACTGACGGGAGACGGAATATACTTCCAGGTAAGTAACAGGCAATCATGCCCATCTCAGTGGACGCATTTGTAGATATCTGTAATATAATCCCATAATAATGCTACAGAGAGAGGTAAAGATGCCCGCATCTTATCCTGGTATGTATTTGGAGTTATTGGTTTTAGGTTTGATTATAATAATACTACAAAGTGGTAAAGATGCGGGATTCCTTCACGTCTTTATCCTGGTAGGTATCCAGAGTTAACCGGGTTTTGGTTCGATAATAATAAATATGTTGCTTACGCTAGCGCAATAAGCCAAATAGGCTTGCCTAGCGTACTCAATTATTTGCTTCTGATACTAATTTTAGCTGTTGACACATGAAGAGATCTGTGAAAGATTTGGCTCTATTGTTGCTCTTCTTCGAGTATCACATGGAACCATGTCCCATTGGTTAAAACTGGAAAAGAAAACCCCGTCGAGACCATGCCTCGTTGGTTAAAACTGGAAAAGAAAACTCCATCCAAATAGAGAGATAACTGAATGATGCCCCCATCCAAAATATTTTAAAGCATGAAAACTTAAGGCGTTCTTGTTGTGCATAGGAACTGTTGTGGACAGGAAAATCTGTCATCCCAGCGAGTTTGACTTTTTTCTCTGCAGCCATTCTGGCGTACAGGTAAAAACTATTATTCGCCGGTTCTCATTCAGATTCTGCTGGTCAAGTTATTGTTCTTGAAACTGTGCTGATCCTTTCACAGGGTACTAGCAGACCTGCACATTATCATGTGCTCTGGGATGATAATGAGTTCTCTGCTGATCAGCTTCAAGGGCTAACCAATAGTTTGTGCTACACGTATGTCTCATTTTCCTTGTTCTTTATTTAGCTTGTAATTCTTATTCTTTATTACTTAATAGTTTCTCTGGTTTTGATTGACTACAGTTATGCTCGATGCACCCGTTCAGTGTCACTTGGTAATTTATCTCTTCTGCTTTCACTTACAAGTGCTTTTCTCTTTCCTTTGTATTGTTTCATATTTTTTTCCTTCCTGTTTGCAGTTCCACCAGTTTACTATGCGCATCTTGCTGCCTTTCGAGCGAGGTACTACTTTGAGGGGGGTGCTGACATCCGTTCTATTCCACACGTCAAGGATAATGTCAAAGAAGTCATGTTCTATTGTTGAAAGAGGGGAGTGCGTGCTTTTTTGTTTCTGTGAAGTTTATGTACAGTTGGTTTAATTGGAACGGGAAGACTGTTAGGGTTAATATTTTTTTGGTACTTATTTAACATCATAGATCAGAATGCACTTAATACCTTGTACCAAAGCTTAAAAAGATTTTGTGAAATTTGTCTTTCTTTCTCGACACTCTACTAAGCACTAAAGCTTACGTAACAAGAGGCTCATGACCTTTGATTCAAGCTCGGTTTGGGTAAATAAATAAATGAACAAAAACGAGCTAACGTAACGAGAGACATTTCTGCGAGCATCACTAAGTCTTATACTATTCTTGTAATACATAACTCATAATATGAAGTCCTCCTAAGCTTTGCAACTGATGATAGTAATTTACAAGAAAAGCCCTCATATATTTTATGTCATGCAGTAAAGAAATAGTAAAACTTGTAGTATAATTGCATTCCTCAATAATCAATTGTCATGGAGTTGACTCATAGGTTTGAATTGAAAAAGAATTTTTACAATAAATTGCTTTGTGTCATGCTTACAACCCAGACTTTATAATTAGGTTAGCCAGACCACTTCACGGTGAACTTTTTAACTCAAAAGTGCGAGACATCTCAACTCAAACATGTAACTCGGTCATGACCCATGGACCTGATCCGAAAGCCTAGGCACAATGATATCGGTCCTGACTCCTGATAACCAATCTCAACAAGTCGGTTACCACGCATTATCTCAATCTAGGCTATTTTCTCTACTGGTCCGCCCTAATTAGAGATTATTGATTCGAATCGTATCTAATCCTCAACATACCGTGTTAGGAGATTGTTTGCGTCAAAAGTTGCTTCCATTGATAATTCTATTGAACTTCGGTCGTTTACAACAAATTACAATAAAAAAAATTTAGAAAATTACAACTCTTGAGAAACTAACACAGAAATCGTTTATCGAATCCTTTTTTTGTGGGACTTTGCCTGTGCCGGGAACGCTTTGGTTCGTGGACCGCCGAATCACAGATCGTGAAGGGGGTTTAATGATTCTGACTTCGTTTATCGAAGTGAGAACTTAAAACGATATCTTATCAAAGTAAGATAGTCGTTCTTCTTAAAATCAAGTCCACTACAACAAATTGCACTTTTCCCGACGCTTATTCCCGACGCATGGTTAAATACGTCGGTAAAAATTATATTTTTCCCGACGCTTTTAGTTAGCGTCGGCAAAAAATATATTTTTCCCGACGTTTATAATTAGCGTCGCTAAAAGTGTATATTATTAGCGACGTTCTAACTTAGCGTCGGTAAAAGTTATGGATTTCCCGACGTTTTTTTATTTTCGTCGGCAAAAGTATAGCTTTTTAGCGACGTTTTAGGATTAGCGTCGCTAATAATATGCATTTATCGCGACGTGTTAAGTAACGTCGCTAAAAGTCTCTTTTTCCCGACGTTCTTGTTTTGCGTCGCTAAAAGGTTACTTTTTACGATGCTGTTTCGTTCATCCGCGTCGCCAAAAAAACACCCCAAATTTTTACCTATAGGCGGGAAATTTCCCCCCTTTATTTTCGCGAAAAAGAGAAAAAAACTCAGAATCCCCGTTCTCTCTCTCTTTCTCTCTCATTAGAAAAAACCTGCCCCAAACCCCCGTGCTCGCCGCTTTCGTCGGAGTTCACCGCCTCCATCGGAGTTCACCGCCGCCATCGATCCCTGAAGCTCGCCGCCGCCGTCGACCCAAATCGGATCTCGCCGAATCGGATCTCGCCACCTCTCCTTCTCCTCTCCTCTTCCAAATCGAAATCCAAATTGAACGTAGAAGAGGAAAATGGCGGCGGCAGCAGCAGCTTTCCCATCTCCTCTTCAAGCTCTCTTGAATCTCGCCCAACGGTTCCGACGGGCAAAAAGCGAAGATCGAAGTTTGATTTCTGAAAACTTTCTGGCTTTTGTTTTCATGTTTATGGTGTGGAAATCTGTGATCTTTCTGTAGTATTTTGCTTAATTTTTGGTACTATTAAGTTTTCTTAGTTTCGCATATGGTCACCGATAAATCGGTATTTGGCATTTGCATGTCTTGAATTTTGACGTCCGGATGGTGAAAAACAGCCATATATATTAGCTAGTTTCAGGTTTCAATTTCTAATTAATTATTAAAAACCAGCCATATATATTAGCTAGTTTCAGGTTTCAATTTCTAATTAATTATTACATCAAGTTCATCTTGTATGAGTCCCTTAGGAGGGAATTTGAGCCAGATTAGTCGACTAATGCCTTCGGGAAATAATAAAGCTTTTAGATGGACTTAGTCCTCACAAACAAGGGAGAAAGACTTTGTTCAAAATTATAAATTATTTATGGTTCTTTTATAATAACAAAAAATATAAATATCAATTCTAATATGTTGAGTTTAGAAGACATTGAGGATTGAAGCCAAACTGAGATTGCAGTATCCTGGTACTGCTTATTATTAGAAATAGCTAATGAACCATCATATAGATATAAAATTTATATCATGAACAAATAATGGTGCGCGTGCAGTTACAAATAAGGGAAATCAATCTCGGGTCTCAACCACGGGATCTTGTATCTAGAAGATGCATATATGTTTCTAATTAGTTATACAGAAAGAGGAACCACGATGTCAATGAGATTGAACTATGTCTCGGAAAGAAGTAAAAGTACCGACTGACAATTATTTCTTTTATCACATTGAACTGATGCACAGTAATTTTCTCTAAAAGGCTTCTTAATTTCATTATTTGTTTTGTATTTAATAAAATCCTTGTGATTTGTAAAATCGATAGATGGAAGCAACATCTCATCCCTTTGATACGATATTGGTAAAACTTTTTTGTTCTTTTTTAAGAAACAATCAGAACATTCCTTTGATCATTTTCATTTCTAGGAGCTGCTTATGATTAGTTATTTTCGCAATATGCCTTTCCCTTCCCAATGTTGTTGGTTTGTGAAACTTAAGCTGTCAGCTAGTGTTTCATCACGTTAAAGTTTACATGATGTTATGAGTTTGTTTGCGTTGCAGCATTAACAACAATTAATGATTTCATGTCTAACATTCAGGACTCTGGTACAAGTGAATCCTGTATTGGTTATTTGCCTTGTGGTATAGTGCATTCGAGATCTGACATGGAAGTAAAGCTTCTATGGCTAGCAAAGGGCTCAAAGGTTAGTAATTCTATTAGGGATTATGTCATCACAACTCATGTCTCATTGATGCTAAAATATTCCAAACCCCCTTTGTGTCCTTAGAGTTTCTTGTATGTGGTGATTTTCCTGTTACTTAGTTGCAATACTTTGGTGTTATTATGTTATGTTTCATGCTTTGGTGTTATTTTGTATGTGGTGATTTTTTTTTCATGGATGACATTTCTAGTCTCCTTTAGTACCTACCTTTTCATTTGTCTATTGCCCGTGAAATTCACTATATCTCATCTTGTTTGACTCAATTGTTTCCACTGTAGAGGAATATGGAGGCCTTGGTCCTGATTACTTGTATCACTGTATAGCAATGGAAGAAATAAGTCGTGCTTCTGGATCTGTTTGCATTAATCAATTTGGTTGCAGTCCTTGGATTTTTAGGGACTTTGAGGTTAGTGGGAGAACTCATCTGTTGAAAGGTAAATTACGTTTCATTTTCCTTTTCATTATTTTGATAATAAAGAGAGCATATGAGGGAGATGCTATTGTGTGTTTTATTTGATTATTTACACTTAATTCTATACATGCAAGAGCCTTTAGAGTTCCTATTGCTTCCACTGCAGATCCATGAGTTCGATTATTGAGCTTTAGAATTATTGATATCAGGTCCATGAATTTCATCTGCACTTACATATGTGCCTTCCACCGGTTCCAAACAAACTTCAAAATGATAGAATTACAGATTTAATAGCCATTCTTGCTTAAGACAACTTTCTATATATCTAAAGAGTTGCATTTAGCTCATACAAATGGATTAAACAATGACTCAGATTCACATAAAATGCACGTTTGTTTGTTGGTTGGTTTTCTTGAACGGATTTGGTTAGGTTTGCATTGCCAACATAAGTTATTGCATAGTAATTGTTTGTGGAGGATGTGTAATGAATGATGTTGCCAACATACATCCATGATGTTGCAGCTCATCAATGAGAAGCCTCAAGTGATTCAAGAGTACGTGTCTTAAAAAGCAATTCCAAATTAGTAGATAATTACCAAACTAGAGAGGAGCTTGCAAAGAACCCAGTACATCATGGGAGGAGCAAACACATAGATACACGGTTTCATTTTCTCAGAGACCATGTAAAGCAGAAAACCGTTGAACTAAAGCATTGTCACACCACTGAACAAGTGGCAGACATATTCACCAAGCCATTATCAGGTGAAACTTTCATGAGGCTAAGAGACATGCTTGGCTTAAAGACATTTTGATTTGAAGGGGTGTGTTGGAATATCAAATTAAAATGCTAGAATAAATGAGTTTTAGAAGTGCAAGGGTCATAAGTTTAGAAGGTGAAGAGACATAGGTTATGGAAGAATAAGAGTAACTTACTCATTTATGGCATTTATCTTTATGGCATTAAAATAGGAGTTTAATTTGTGACTATTGGTATGCCTAGACGTTTTTGTTTTTGAAGCCTATATAAAGGGCTATTGTAATCCTTGTTTGATATGAAGAGAGAAAATTGAAGAAATATAAGTGAGTTCTTCATTTGAAAGAGTTCTAAGTTCGTAAACTTAAGAGTCATCAGATCCTTCGGTATCAATCCCGGGCATGACTAATGGGGTCCTCCAAAGCATGGTCCAGATATTCCGGGAAATTAAATTCATGTGATCCTTCGGTATTAACCCCGGGCATGACTAATGGGGTCCTCCAAAGCATGGTCCAGGTATTCCGGGAAATTAAATTCATGTGGTGCATGCTCTTTAGGAAGTCAAAGCTAAGATCTTAGAGTACAACCTATAGATAGCTTACCAACTCGGCTAGACCCTCTTGGATTGTAGCTCTCGATCTTTAGTTCACCTTTTTAATTTGATAAATCATATAAAACTAAAATAGTCATGAAAAG